CTTCCAGGGAATATTTTAATTTTAACAAAACCTAGAACACTTTATCTTAGTTATTACATGAAATTGCTTTAAAAAACAGTGATTATATTAACATAAGGGACTGTAAATTTTGTAATGAAACAGCGATTGATACATCTGAAGGTTAAAACTCTTCTACTATTACACAGAAAATTTCAGTTAATTATTCTTAAAACTTTTTGAGCAATCACTGTCCCCGTTTGAGGTTTTCATGGGGAAAAAATACATTTCGAGAAAAACACATTTTAAAGTTTGACATCATCTTTAAAGTTATGGCATCTGCTTTTACTAAAACCCTTGTAGTTTTTGTTCTAGTGAATAGAAAATTTAAAAAAAACTTGGTACTTTTACAAAGCTAATAAGACGGTCGATAAAATAAAATCATAAAAAAATGTGCCAATTTTTGAAAAAATTTACGATTTTAGGGTAATCGAAATGAATTTCAAGCAGCCTCAAACTATTTCTTATAAAAAAGAATAATGGATATAGAGAAACCAAAGCTTCGCAGACGATGGATCCTATCTATAAGTTTAAAATACTCTAACGAAATTATTTAAAAATCTAGAAACTACCCGGATACTTATATATAAAGTAAAACTTAGGAGTAATATATCTAATTAATCAATTGCTTAATTTTATCTAGTTTCTGATAATAAATGTTGTTTTCTATATTTTTAGATCTTTTGTTGTAAATCTTATGGACAAATTAAATTCAGTGACTCCTATTATTATTATGGGATAGAGAGAGTAGTAATTTGTCTAAAAAATTCACTAGTCTTATTGGAATACCCTCTTCATAAATCACTGGATTTTTCGCATTTTTCTTTTTAGAAAAAGCTTACTTGGATTTGTAAAACAAGAATGCATTTAATATAATTAAGATGCTAGTTAACTTCTAATTAAACAAGACAAATAACTTACATAAGCTATTAAATACCCTCTCCCCTCTAAATTTAAGCGAAGGTGGATAAACAAGATTATCATGTGAAAAATAAATTAAAATACACTCTAGTCAAAAAAAACATTTAAATACTGAAACAATTTCTTTTTTATACAATAAATTAAGCATCATAAGTACAAAAAAAGAAAAATTTAATATTTTTTAATGAATGAAATGTTAATGGACCTAATAATTTACATTTAAATGTTCACTGGAGCTTTTAGTTTTAAAAGAAAGAAAAATTATTCACACAAAAATATAATAAAAAGTGTAGGAGAAAAATTATATATTTTCTATGTATTTTACCCTTTTCTTTCGACTGTAGTAATTCCTTTCGCATATTTAAACAGACTTTTAATCAAAATAAATAGAGTTTAAGGGACTCTTTTTACATCAAAATTTACTATAAGAGGGTTTTATTAAAATTATATATTTAATCCTCTTCTAAAAATAAAGAGCTTTTTTATATTGTAAATCTTTTACTTATCTGAATATACAGTATTTAAACAAACATTTTCTCTGCTATTAGAAAATGAATTCAAATTTATTGTTTTATATGCATTTATTTACCTTTATAAAAGTAGCGAAATCAATTACGTTGCAATAATTCCGATATTTTTTTTTACAAAGGATGAGATAAACTCAAACATTAAGCATTCATTTTTCAAAACGCGAGAATATTATCTTGGCTTTAGAGTGACCCGTGTGTAAAGGGGCTGGTTTTCGGGAAATCCGTTGAAGCTCAAAACCCTCACATTGGCGTGGTATAGAAGTTTGTACAGAGGGATGCCAGCTCATGTGTCGTATTTGATATTTGACCTTGGTTAAAAATTGACATTCGTTGTCAACAACCTCTACATTGCTTTAGAGAGCGATGTTAATAAAAATTTATTCAGAATTGGATTTAAAATTTTACTTTTTTCACATATTCCATATAAAGTTCTTTAAAAATATAATGAATATGATATATTGATAAAAATAATGCCAAGCTCTTATTAGCGGAGTAATTTTAAATGCTTTATATAAATTAGGATGGAGACTGGGCTTCTACGGAACCAGGACCGGGTAATGGTCTGCAGCTTATTAGGAAACAAATCACTCCCAGCCCACTTTTTTAATTTATAATTTATATAATAATTATAGCGTGTGTGTTTTTTTTCACAAAAATTCTTTAAGCTAGTTTCATTGAGTAACAGTATAAAGAAAAATTTTTTTATTGTACGTAATGGTCTTCAATCCGAATTCGAGAAATAATCTAAAATATCACCCTGTGCTGTAACAAAATATTTAAGTATAAATTCCTTTTAAGTTACTTTGATAAAAGGTGAGCATATATATATATATATTAAATAGTCAAAATTTTCTATTTAAGAGAGATGGAATAATTAATCATCAAAACTGAAAAAAATCGAAATTGCAAGATAAACCTGACATAAAAGATAAATTAGAAATTAATAGAATTTTTCAAAAAAATAATATATAAATATGAATACTACAGTATTATAAACATTGCTGACTTAGGACAGCTCTTACATATGAATTTTTTTTATTTCCAATGGCCAGGGTTACAAAAGACCCCTACACCACAAGGGGGTAGGAACAAAAACAAAAACAGAGACAAAACAAACAAAGCAAGAGAAAAAAAAACGTGGCGAGAAAAGTCTATGAACCCAATAAGGTCATAGGCTTACTTGCCTATAAAGGTCGCTTATATATGAAAAATAATTTATTTAAAAGTGGAGTTGAACATGTTTTTTTGGCCAGCTAACCTTTCCCCTTTCTGTTAATAATACTGAGCAAAAACCTGTTGACAATAATGAATATATTTAAATCCATTACAAGAAAAAGGTAACTTAAATAAAAATTGCATTCAAAAACGCAGAGCCTGCGCTAAATCTGAGTACAAAAAATTTACTGCCATATTCTGGACCCAAATGCAGATTCAAAGCATGGGAATGGCTGAATAGTAGCACTTAGCAAAAATATGAAAATAATAGAAATAAAAAAATTAAAAAGTGTGTACATCTGTCATTACTTTAGGGTCACTATATTATATAAATGTATTTAAATATTTTAAAAAAATTACTACGGTTAAAATAAAGTAAGAGAATAAGTAATTTTATCAGAATATGGAGGTAACTTTATCTATCTAAGAAAAATGATAAATTTATAATAATAAACTATTTATAGACTGAGGATTTTTTTAATCTTTACTATTTAGATTTTACTTGTTATATATATAACAAGCAGTAAATAAAAAACGAACCACTTTATTATTACCTACACTTGGTCCTAGATGAGCTCATTGGGATTACTCCAAAACCATTCCTCACTTGTTAACATCTCCAGGCATTGTCTTTCACAACCAAGGAGTGGAAAGATAAACTACCATTAGACGGTAAACTGAATCCCAATTTCACCCGACAGAGTGAAAACCATAAATTTCTCGCCAGCGACGGACGTCGATAAAAAAGAAAGTCGTTCCTGCCCCCTTCATCTTTTTTACGGTAGGGTAATTTAGCAATAGGCTGAAAGAAATTGGTTTGCTTAAGTATTCCGATAGTAATAGTCTTCTTTGAAAGGACCACGTAAAAAGCTATCCCCGTGACTGAACATTCTCTCTGGATGTTTGCACTCTCCACCGATAACAGGTATGGGATGAGATAACAGGTGTTAAAAGCCTAGGCTCTATGCTGAAAGCTATATACTCTTTGCGGATGTTTTTATGCCGTTGTTCAAATAGGACCTTAGATCTAGGCTCCTTTGAGGCTGTGTCTTAGAATCAACCTGAAAAACATTTTAACGTGACTTCCATTTGAAATATAGTCTTCTTTTTTTATGGTCAGATCTTAGGTAATACTGAGCATAGCTTTGCATTCAAATTAGTTGTTAAAGCTGGTGTAGTTAAGTTCATCGCTAAGATAACCAAGGCAATTATTGATTAATGAAACCGAATTCAAAAAAATGAATGAAAAATAAATGAACATTAGATCATGGCTGTACTAAATTTTAATATACGTAGTATTTCAGAAATCGATGTCTCTTTTTCAATTCCTAATAGCTCACTCTCTTCCTTTATATATATATATATATATCTTTTTCAAATTTTCAATCGTTAATAAAATACTTTGAATTCATCCATTCAAGTTCAAATACATTTTTTAAACTTGTAGTGGATTACACTTGATGTTAATACAGTTTCTTAAAATATTAATTCATTAATTAAATTGAAAAATGAATAAATAGAAATAAACACACAAATAATAGTCCAACAGCATACATAAAAAGGAAAATTGCTCGTTGTGTCTCTATAGCGTAATGAATAGCGCGTTGGACTTCTCATCCAAAGGTCGTGGGGTTTGAATTCCACCTGCCATGGACAAGTTTCTGAGAATTGTGATATCTTTTTTACTATACTATTTTATTAGAATAATTAAATTTAATTAATGAATAAATAATAACAACTAAGGAAATAGTCCAACTTTATACATAGAAAGGAAAATATGGAAAAAATTGCAAGGAAAAGCGTTTTTTATTTTGTCACTTAATATTGTGATTTTGTCATATGTATATACATATTTATATTAATTGCAACTATTTAATAAAAAGTAACTAAAATAAAACGTTTCTTTGTTGACCTAAGTAGGAATTAACTTATTATTTATTATTTTACTTGTTTACAGTTATGTCCTTAGTTTTCCAGAGGAAAATTTACACAGAAGTTACAATTAATTTTATAGTTGATATAGCTGATTTTAACTAGTAACCACAAAGTAAACGAGATATAAAAGACTTGCATGATTTTTATTTCATCTACTTTAAAAGCAAATAAAATGAGTACTAGTGAAATGAGTATATTCTTTTGGATGCAAAGTTTTGATACGAGAAATCTTGCTCTCATAAAATGAAATGTTTATTTTTATGAGAATTACATTATTTTTATTTTATACAATGGTTTTTTTCTCAGATAACAGAGTTCGTGTTATTTTGATTTTAAATCTGCCTCTTCATAATGTAACTGCTGTGAGAAAAGTTCAACATACTTCTAAATAAATGAAGTATATTGAAATTGTGCAAAAAGTTGGCTTGAAAAATCATTTTATTAATCCTGAGTTTAAATACTATTTTATGTCAGTAGGAAACTCTCATTCAATTTGCAACAAGTGTCAATTTTGTTTCTCGTAAAGGTTTGTAGATTACAATGCAAAATAAGGTTAAATCCTTGAAGCCAGTAATACAATGAGGGAAAAATAAGAATTGTCTTTCATGGAAATACGTGGTGAAATACTGCATTGAAGTAAACCTAATTCTGTAAATCAATAAATATGTATTTGATAAACTAAGTAGATTAGGTTTAAAAAATTAAGTTTTTGTACATATAAAGTGAAGAACAATTTTTTTTATTGAAAATTTATCTTTTTTACTCCTGAATTTATATATTTTATTTAATTTCCTCAAACAATTATTCTATTTTAAGTTATAAAAAACTGATTTCTTAATTCCTTATAACAAAAGTGTGTGTATGAGGGAAATGCGTTAGAGCTACATGGATGTTTTGAGAATTTTTTCTTTAAATTAAATTATTAGAATAACAGTATGTATGTAAGACAACAAAAAAATCAGTTCAACTTCAATTCATTCATTAACTCAACACCAGTTTTGTTTCATTTACACTTTCATTATTTGGCATATGAATTGCCTCACTCCAAACTATACAAATAGCGCCAATTCATAAAAATCATTCAAACTAATAAAATAATATTAATAATAATATTAAAATAAAATAAAATTATGTAGCAAAAAAGGATAGGTTTTTTAAAAAAATTAAACAAAATTACTACATAATGAAATTAATAGAAAAATAGCACCTTTTTAGACAACGTTCGTTTTACTTGACAAATGTTTTTCAGCTTACAAAAATAATTCAACTTTGGTATAAAATTTGATAAATTTACGTATTTAATTGACAAAAATATTTTTAAAGTTTGAAAATTAAATTCTCGTGAGAGAAAGACTAAGAACAAAATAGTTCATTTTATCCAACAGTTTAATTTACAAAAATCACAGCTTCAGAAGTACAATAAAAGAAAATTTTGACAGTAACTTCACAAAAATGTAAAAGAAACCCAAATTGCAGTTAACTTAATTAATGACCAAAGAAACTAAGAAATTAATCCAAAATCTAGCTTCATTAAAACCCATGCTAAATAAATGGCATCTACTACAAGATGAAATCTATTATTCCCAGCTCGCGCAGCATCAATAAATTTCAATGTTAAATTTTCACATTCTCTCTCGTTTGTTTCATCGCCTGCAAGATATAATTCACTTCAATTCTCACATATTTTCATAAACAACTTCGGTAATTGAACGTGACTCCTCTGGAGAAAAAATAAAAAGAATCAATGGAAAATAATAAAATTGTACTGAATGAAGCGACCAAAACTAAGAGTGGACCTTACAAGATTTAAATTTGTCAGCGCCGTAGTTAACAAACGTTGCAGACTAGGCAAATTATTTGATCTGCTTTCAAGAGTTTCCATTAGCATTTATCATTAGAGTCTCCTTTGATTCATTAATGCTTTTAATGGAATTTCCAAGTTTTTGCTCACTTTATCTTTCCGGTCCAAAACCATTTATCCTCCCTTTTTTTATAGCCTTCTTATCTCCAAGCAAAGCTTTGAATATAAATGTCAACACAGTTGCTGATATTATTCCGTGGGCGTGTTTGGAATTAATTCGAATATTAATTTTTTCCGTGTTTATGCTTTTTTGGAATAACAGGATGCAAGGGTGATCGTTGTGTTCCTCTTTTCTTTACTTTTTTTTTCAAACTTTTCTGAAGTCATTCTTTATTCGGTTAGAATTCTTGTGTATGCAATTAAAATGCATATTTGATAAAATTTTCTAGTTATGTTTAATATAGAAATATTAATATCTACGCATTAATAACTTGGGATGTGTTATTGACGTAGTTATTCCTGAATGGGGTCCTGTGTCCTGATTCTTTCGGGGGCCCTTTTTTGCAAAACAAAAATAAATATAATCACATTAAAAAAGTTTATTTGTGAAAGTGTCAAAAAAGTTACACGTGTTGGTGTCCTTATTGCTTGGGAGTCCTCGTATCGTTGATGCATCTGATACGGCGGTAGCTATATGCCTCTGCGATGTGTGCGCCATTAAAAAAATGTTTAACAATTGATTTAAGGGCAATAGTAGGATAAAAACATCTGTAAATAAAGAATTCTCATATTGCAAAACCTGAAGGATATCCACCAAAGTAATTTTCTAACGTACAGACTTAGGACGAGCCCTCTGAGTACATGGATGTTTAAAATCTGAAATGATGTTTTAAGATATTTTTTAAATAATAAAATGCTTATAAATAAAGTCATTATCCTCTATTTTCCGATAAAACATAATCATTCAATAAAAATGCCATGTAGGGCAATAGAAAATAACTCTTATTTGGTAAAAATTGTATAATCAAAACATTTGAAAAAAATCTGACCTAACCCTCTTGCGAACATTATTAATTAATTATAACAATACAGAATTAGTTATTATTTAATAATTATTGTAAATTAATAATAATAATGATAGTAAGTAAGATAACTGACTTTTTATAACTAGTTAAATTTCTTTCAAGAAAAAAATGGGGTGCTTACATTTTTTTTCCTTAAAAATTCATTTTTTTATAATTTATAACTTATTTCTAAATTGTCCAGAATGATTTCCATCTTAATTAAATAAATTTAAAAATATATCTTCACGAAAAGTGAAATTTAATCTCCCGTTAATGTTCTCTCTCTCTCTCTCTTCTCTCTTATCTGTTTCTCAATGTTTTAATTGAGAAAACTGAACACAAAATTATATTCAGAGCATTTTTTTTTTGTTTTGACATTCAAAAAATGCATCTTTAAATATTCCAAACTATGAAAAATGTATTTTCAAACTTTCAAACCCTTTCCATCCGATTCTCTCTCTCTCTCTCTCTCTTTCTCTTCTCTCTCTTTTATTATTTGTATGCAAAAAACAATGTATTATTACGATTTAATATTGTCAGACCGTATATTTTTTTTACACGGCTTGAAAAATTCGATAACATATCTCTTCCGATAAACATATCTACACTAATTCTTTGGAAACATTTCAAAACAATTAAATTAGCTGATTGTTTCTTTGTTAACGTCAAAATTAGAAGCAACACCGAACTGTTGTAGAATACCTCATAATTTTGTGGCTTAGCAGCCAAGAAGTCATAGTCACGAACTAGTGGATGGTATTGTTTCAATCAACTCTGGGTTCGAGTCCTAGTACTAATGAAGACTCACCATGTAGAGCAAGGGTGTCAAACAAAAAGGCTGGCTTTGGCCAAATAAACTAGATTTATCTTAAGATGGGCTGCAAAGAAAATCCAAATTCATAGTAACGTAGGTTTATTTCGAATAATACATTATAATAAACATGTATAAAAAAACAATTAAAATTTAGTATGTACGTCCTGACACTTGACATCACTTCTCTGCTACCATCTTTCCTATTTCGGGAGGAATTTTGATATTTTATTATATATTATTCTGTGCCAATGTATTGCCGGGTCGCAAAGACCCTCGTTGTGGGCCGCGAGTTTGACACCCCATGTGTAGAGGATCTGATGCACGTTGAATATGTCGAGCCTTAAAGTTCTCACATTAGCGATCTGAGTAGGATTGGAGAATTTGGTGCAATCTTAGGTGTAAGGATTGCAATACCGGTATACCGGGATACCAAATACCGGTATTTTGAACCATTTGTACAATTTTGTAATACCGGTTTTCACAAGTTTAAATACCGGTTTTTCGGTATTTACCAGAATTTTTTTAAGTTGTCTCCACTATATATGTTCAAGAATCGCCAACCTAGCAAAATAGTATACGTTTTTGTTTTTATGTCTCCCTAACGGGTGACATTAATAAGACTGTGAACATAAAGTTGCATCGTACAATCAAAAGAAGTGATAAAATATATGAATTATCTAAAACTATTATATTACAGCTCCAGAGCGATACTGCACACGCACAGGATTCATAGTCTGATATTCGTATCTATGAAAATAAGGTTGTAGTTGTAAGAAAAGTGCGTAATATTTCGATATTTTTTAAATTGGGGAGTTTGTTATTCATGTTGTATTTGCATATCATACTTGTATTTACATATATTGTATTAAAAATGAAAAAGAAGAAAAGAGACTAACAAATTCAAATTTAATCAAGTGTACAGTAAATTTTCTTAGAACTTTTTTACCCTCAGACCTATCCACATTTTGAAAAATTCGGTACAGTTATCGAAGATGAGGATTACACTAAAGCCAATAGTGTAAATGAATTGTCTCTTAAACAA